AAGAAATAATGTATTTATTGTAGAATAATAAAAAGTATTTTGAAGTGCTCTGCGCTTTATAGACAAGTAAGGTGTTGGCTCAGCCTGATGGTCCCGAAGACAGTGAAAGTATTTGCATGACCTGAAATGTTGATGAATTAATTCTCCTTAGTCCTGGGGCACTGAAATGTTCAAGCATGTCACAACAGTGTGTCTCTATCTCAGCAAGGCAGCAGTGCAGCTCACTGACTTCCAGATTTCTTCCACCCCCCCCCCCCCATGGTTATCATTGTGCCAAGAGTCTAGAAATAGCAAGGCGAGGAGCTGCATTCCCTGTAATTCTTAAAATGTCTGAGTAAAGTTTATATTCAGACACTCACTTTGCATAATAAGCTTATATACTGAAGTGAAAGACTTTTAGGAAAGATTTTGCTGGCATTGCATGAGGACACAAGTACTCAAGCATCATCTGAAGAAAGCTGGCCTAATATGTTTCCAGCCTATGCCTCCCTTCCTGTGCTGCTCTCTCTTTCTCTTCTCCTGTCCTGGCTCAGTCTCATTCCACTGTTTGGCTCTGGAGGAGAGGAGAGGAGAGGAGAGGAGAGGAGACCCTCCAGTCTTCAAATTCATACTAGGAGAGGAGAGGAGAGGAGAGGAGAGGAGAGGAGAGGAGGAGACGATGGCAAACCCCACTGCAATGTGAGGGTTAAAATCTGTGCCTGGTGGTTGATGAGGGGATGGAACATCTTTACATCAGCCTTGTGTGCCCAGATCTTGAATGGATTGGTTGTAGCCTGATAAACGATGAGATTGTTTCTGGATGCATGAGTTGAATGCACCATTAGCAAGTTTGTTGGTGATACCAAACTGGGAGGTGCTGTTGACTCTCTTGACAGGGGGCACTACGAAGGGATCTAGATACATTGGAGCACTGTGATGTGATTAATGGGATGAAATTTAACAAGTTGAAATGCCAGATTATGCACCTAAATTGGAGTAACGCGGGGCACAACTGTAAACTGGAAGAGGTATGGCTGGAGAGCAGCCCTGCAGAAAGGGATCTAGGGGTGCTGGTCAAGCACTGTGATGTGATTAATGGGATGAAATTTAACAAGTTGAAATGCCAGATTATGCACCTAAATTGGAGTAACGCGGGGCACAACTGTAAACTGGAAGAGGTATGGCTGGAGAGCAGCCCTGCAGAAAGGGATCTAGGGGTGCTGGTCAACAGCAGGCTCAATAGGAGTCAGCAGTGTGCCCTGGCAGCCAAAAGGGCAAACCATATCCTGAGGCCCATCAAACAGAGTATAGCCAGGTGGTCTAAAGAAGAGGTTATCCAACTCTATTCAGCGATGGTATGGCCTCACCTTGAGTACATCGCTGCTGGTTGGAGATGCTCTAGGAGGGAGGGGGATGGGCATGTGGGGCAGAGGCTCAGCGCTAGGGGCATGGGGACTACAGTGATGTGGGGTGGCTGGAGATGATGGGACCAGTGAGTCAGGGAAGAGAAAAGGGGTGTCTGGCAGCAATGGGATCATCGTGGGGCTGGTTACAGCCTGCAGCAGATACCCCATGTGGGACAGATGTGTCCTACCCCATCCTGGGACAAGAGCCTGCATCGCCTGTGGCCACCAAGAGGGTGGTCAAACATTGGAACCAGCTTCCTAGAGAGGTGGTTGATACCCCAAGCCTGTAAGGGTTTAAGAGACATTTGGACAATGCCCTTAACAACATGCTTTAACTTTGGGTCAGCGCTGAAGTGATCAGGCAGTTGGACTAGATGATCATTTCATGCTTTAACTTTTGGCCAGCCCTGAACTGAGCAGGCAGTTGGACTAGATGATCATTTCAGTATGCATCCAGAAGAGGGCAACAAAGTTGGTGGGGGAAAGGGCTGGAAGGAATATCCTGAGGAGTGGCAGAGCACTTTGGGTTTATCTATTTTGGAGAAAAGGAAGCTGAGGGGTGACCTCATCACTCTCTACATTTTCCTGAGGAGGGGAAGCGGAGAGGGATGTGCTGAGCTCTTCTCCCTGGTATCCAGTGACAGGATGTGTGGGAATGGTGTAAAGTTGCACTGGATATTATGAAGTGTTTCTTTACTGAGAGGGTGGTCAGACATTAGAACAGGCTTCCTAGAGAGTAAGTTGATGCCCCAAGCCTGTCAGTGTTTAAGAGGCATTTAGACAATGCCCTTATTAACATGCTTTAACTTTTGGCCAGCCCTGAACTGATCAGGCAGTTGGACTAGATGATCATTTCAGGTCCCTTCCAACTGAAATAGTCTAGTCTAGTCTATTATGCAATCATATTAATTTTGCATTCTGCCTGGCTGGATATGCTGCGTAGCCTGTGCCCAAGGGCCAGATGCGTTTTAGCTGCAGTACCACTGCAGGTATCCAGTGACAGGATGTGTGGGAATGGTGTAAAGTTGCACTGGATATTATGAAGTGTTTCTTTACTGAGAGGGTGGTCAGACATTGGAACAGGCTTCCTAGAGAGTAAGTTGATGCCCCAAGCCTGTCAGTGTTTAAGAGACATTTAGACAATGCCCTTATTAACATGCTTTAACTTTTGGCCAGCCCTGAACTGAGCAGGCAGTTGGACTAGATGATCATTTCAGTTCCCTTCCAACTGAAATAGTCTAGTCTAGTCTATTATGCAATCATATTAATTTTGCATTCTGCCTGGCTGGATATGCTGCGTGGCCTGTGCCCAAGGGCCAGATGTGTTTTAGCTGCAGTACCGCTGCGATGGAAGGAGACCTGGGAGCTCACCTCAGATTTACAGGGAAACTCAGAGGGCAGGGAGGTTTCCCATGCAAGCAGACACTCAGGGAAAGAGGATCTCTAAGAACAACCCTATCCCCCAGTTGAGATCCTGTGGAGTACAGCTAGTGTCTGGGTCTTTTTGAGGCTGGGCACTGCATTGAGACAGCATTTTAATTGAGGGAAGCAAAAAGTGTGTCTTGAAGCTAAACTTAGACGTAAGTAGATACAAATACATTTTTCTTTTCTATTATACTCTTTCTAAATATCTGCTTTATTGGCCTTTCCATTTTTAAGTTAAATAAAGTGTGGGGTTTTTTTCCTCCCAAAAGTCTCTCCATCTGGTGATGAGAGACATTTGAAGTCTGGCAAAACATTTGTTTTTCATTCTCAAGGAAGGAACACTCCTAAAGGTAGGTTTTGCCTGAACAGATGAATTGTGGTATAGAACAAACAAACAAAAAAACCAACAAAAACCACCCCTGATCTTAGGCTCAACTGTTAAACAGATCTTTAAGAAAGGGTAATTAGCAGCTAGCTTTACCAGGAATAGGAAGGTGTGGACTGTTTCATTTCTTCACATATTACATTCTAATTGAAACAGTATCACCATTCAACAAGAGCTCTGATCTCAACTGGAAGCCTCCTATAGTTAACAGATATTAATTCACACGGGATTTCCTTCCAACATGCCACATTTTTTGTTGAAGTTTGAAAATTTTGAATTTTGTTTTTATTATGAAACAACTTGACGAAGAAATGCAACTGAATGGAATTAGGTACAGCATGTTGGTTATCTCTCTGTTGATTTGCTGTGATTTCAAGATTTTATGGAAATCTTGAGTCGTAAGATGCCACTGCATGGTAAATTAATTTGGTCCCAGAGATTGGCCAAGGGTTTTTCAGTTATGCAGATAGATCTAACAGAATATGACCTCTGTCACACCACATCTCAAAAGACAGAGCTCTATCTATTACGTGTAGCCATGCAAACACTTTTTACATTACTTAAGTCTTTGTGCTCATCCGGAGTCATGAAATTTCTGAAACTGTCTCCTGATGGCTATAATTAGCCTTACAATTACTATTAGTATAGCAACAGGGCCTGGGGCCTCCAAAGCTGATTCCCTGTATGACGAAACCTAAAGCCTTGTGTCAGAAAGCTGGAAAAGGATACAATAAACAAACTGGAAAAATGCAAGGTAAAAGGGAAAACATGGGTTAAAGAGATAATCATTATGACTAAAGTGAGTTTTAAAGAATGTTAAAAAATGAATAAATAGTACTTTTGTGGATCCTGCTGTTAGCTTATTTACCAAAGGACCTTCTACACAGACATTGGGAGTCATAGCTGGGGAACCTGACAAATGATAAGTGTAATTCTAAATAAACTGATTAGTTCATAAAAATATCCATGAGGAGGTTGAACCATTAAAAGGACTTGCAAAAACCACATAGATAGAATAATTTTTTTAAGGAATATTTATTTTCAATTCCATTTAAACAACCCACTTTTGTAACACATACTAAAATCTTTAGGAAACATTCTAAGAAATTTCAGGATTATAGCCACAGGGATGAATTGAATGCATTTCAGTTTTGCAGATTAAAATACAGAATATGTTTGCATCATTCTGCATTTTATTATGTTGCTGCCTTTTGGGATGCTTTACATTAAAAATACGTGACTGACACTCTTTATACTAGTAAGCCTTTTTATTGAAAAAAAATATTATTGCATTAAACTACATTCCCAGGAATTCCTTGAATAACCTAAAAAAAAAGCTGTGTTGCATGTACAATAGTGCAATTCACTTAGCTACTGTATAATATAAAACACTTTATACAGAGAATACAAACCAAAATTACTAGTTTACATATTATACTAGCCAGAGTATTATCCAGTTTTAAATATAAACTTAACACTTTTAAAATCAATCTGGTCAAATGGCATTTTAATGCAAATCTGCACAACAAATATACATGTTAAATGTATTCCAGAAGTGCCTCAGTTACCAAAAAAAAAAAAAAAAATTAAACAAAACCCAAAAATTTTTATCATTGTGTACTTCAGGAAACTTTTGTTATTCGAACTTTACAGTGTGGATGACTTGTTTCCTTGGGTTATGTACCAAGAATATACAATCAAGCTAAATCAGATTATTAACTTGGAGTGTATATATTACTGCCACAAGGATACTGCAACTCTTTTAAAAATCAGTCTAAATAAAATAAAAATTGTAACATGGCTCCATATGTCAGGCTCAATTATGCTTTTAATAATAATAATGGTATATAATTAAAGTACATTACTGATTAAAAAAACCCATGACAGCAAGTAGAGCAAATATATCATGTCAGCTGTGCTGATAATTTTATTACATTTCTCCAAGAAAATCCCTTTAGTGTATTAAGAATGATATTGGACATTCCCTTTGTTGGTAGTCAATGATTGCTGTTTTGCTATTGTGCTGCTTCTGTTCCTTCTTAATCTCCTTTTTTTTTTTTTTTTTTTTTCTCCCATCAATACTTTTCACATTCCTAATTCCCATTGTTCCAAGAATTAAATTTAGTCTTTATTGTCCATTCATTTGCCTTACCCGATCATCCTTGTTGGTATATACAAAGATGCACGGACATCCTATGATTTGATTCCTTCCTAGAATCCCATTTTATTGTGTCTATGTTAAGGAAAACTTATATATCTATTTTCCATAAACTATCTATATAGTGGGATATTACTAAGTTTCAGTTGGTCAGGTTTTTTGCCATAGGAATTTCTACAACTTTAACATTGCCTATGAGAAGCAGGGATACAAAATATGTGTGTATGTATTAAAGATGAGATTGGACTACCATTTCTTTTCTTCCCCATTTTTTCTCTTGGTATTATCTGCTTAGAATTCAAATGAACTCATATACAATGACAACAGCTGCTTTCCCTTAAAAAGAAATGGAACTGGGCCTATAAATTTAAAAGTTTGTAGGGCTGGAAATGCATCCTTTAGGCTGGTATTAGCCCTGAACTGGTGGTGATGGCTGTGCAGCTCAATCAGCCTCTTCTGGGGCACAGGCTGACACGCTCCTTTGAAAGATCTAATTCAGAGTGTTTCTACAGAATTATAACTAACGTTTCCAAGTGGTCCCCTGAGTGAGGGATTCCCATCCAAGCAATCAAGCACTAATTTTGAGAGTTGTTAAGCCACATTCAGTGAAATATATTTGATTCTCAATAAATAAAATTTCATAATTATTGAAATTATATGTAAATTCAGATCTAATTTTGGGAAGACTTTCAGCCAAAAATGAAAGGAAGGATTTTAAAACTGTGAAAATATTTATTTTTAACATCTTTCCCAAAGAAAATTTCTGACTTCCTTAGTTCTGAAGAAATAATTTCAATTGAAGAAGTTCCCTATGATTTAAATGAGAAAACTGAACCAGAAAGATATCAAATGTATCCATTTTATTAATTAAATTTATAAATCAGCTGGGAATCGAACAAAAAGATGGCTTCACCGGCCTTTGTCAATACAAAAATGTTTTGCTTCTGCTCAGTCTCCAGATTTTTTCCTGACATCTTTATTCGATGTCTAAAATGTTAAGTATCCAAAGAAACTTTACCTTTGAAGATACAAAATGAGCAGTCGTAACTTGTAAAGCCACTTGAAAAGTTTGGCATAATACCAGTTTACGCTGAAGAAGCTGATTTTAGAAATTAAAACAATTCCATTTTATTGCAATAGATCAGTCTAGTTTGATTACAACTGCGTTAGAAAATTGGTCCTAAATTGTATTTTAAATACTGAACTTAATTGCAACTAGATTTCTCAGCTTATTCAGATAGCTGTATATAACAGAATAAAATCCTCCAAAAGTTTTTTAATGTGTTTTAAATCAGTTCTGAAAGATACATTATTAATTGTGCACTGCATTTTTGCAAATGAATTGAGATTATTTCAAATGTTTCTAATCCAAACAAAAGGTTGCTCTCTGTCAGACACTTCACTGCCCAATTATATTGGGAAACATGCCACAGTCTAACCACAATTATGAACTTAATTTCATGCTAAATATCCCATGTTGATTTGGGAAATATTATAAAAATAATGAAAATGTGCCATTCAAGGAGATGCCCTTACCTATTTCCAGATACACAGTTATTACTAGCAATTTCAACCACGTGTTACCCTGAAGGTTGGATACATGCATTCATATATTGCAGATTCAGAACTTCAATTGGTATGTCGAGAGTTGGGGAAGCCATGCGAGACTCTTTAAATATTTGTTTAGATTCAATATACCTTGAAAAGCTGAGAACTGTGGCGTGGCTTTCTCTAAGACTTGTCCTGGAGAGCCAGAATTCTGCTCAGAATTCTACTTTTGCATTTTTACGAATATCGGCATGATTTTGTAGGACCAGACGGTTGTTTATGTTGTGTGTGAAAGGAATGAAACATATTTCCACATTCTTTGGGCAGGACTTTTCTCACACATCAGAGCTCTGTTTGGTAGGGAGGAAGTGTTTCAGTCTTGGCCAAGGACCTCTGGTGTTCAAAGCCAGAGCCAGCTGCCTTGCAACCCCTGACATACCCTGTACTGCAGCCAACGCCAAAGAACCTGGCTTCATCCCCTCCTTTCCCTTCCCATCTTGGGTGCTTGGCTCAGGGAGCAGTATCAGCCTGCTTGTGCCAGCACAGAGCCCCCTACGCTGAGGGAACCTTTTGTACCCGTGGCCAGGCTGCAGTCCCTTTATGCTGCCCAACCGACATATCCCAGGGTCTAAGTGTCTTTGAGATGTTGCTGTGACCTTCTTCTTCCAGTGTTAAGTCATCATCCCTCACTCTGAGGCTCCCCAGTTTATTCTGAGTGGGAGACAGAACCAGGGACTTGTGGTCCCCGATACCTTCTTTTTGCCCCAGTCTGAAGTACCACAACCAGACCAAGTACTTTGCCATTGCCACGCTCAGGAAAGCAAACCTTTGAGGTGTGTCAAGACTACTCTACCTTAAATTGAGCTATTTAAAATCACTCATTCTTGGTCCCATTGTGTCTGGGTGCTGTGGTCCCATTCCTACTGACAGCCACAGACTTCAGTTCAGGCTGTTCTTTACAAACTTTCTGTAAAAGGGAGGGACACCGTCCTCCTTGTGATAGTGTCATAAAACATTTTAGCACTCAGTGATACGAAAACTAAGTCAACGTTCATATGCTGTCAACCAGAATGTGGACTTTAAAATATTTGCTGTTGTGCTTTGAGCAAAACAGTAGATTTCCCCTCAGACATGTGGTTGAACACTGAATAATTTATTTTATTCAAATTTGGGTTTGGAGCCATGGTGTAATCGTTTGGGCTAGTTTAAATAGCTAGAAACACTGAAAACTTCTTTTATTGTAGGTAACTGTTGGGTCTGGCTAGAGCAAGAATGTTGGTGGGGCTCTTGCCCCTGGAATAACGGATGAACTAAGGGATTTGGATGTATAGCAGATGGCGTGGCTGCATTCAGGTGTGGAGTAAATAAGGCTGGGATATATGCAGCGTGTGGTAGTGTGGGGAAGGTCAGTGGGGAAGGGTGGAGGGGGGTGGTGGAGACCAAGTGCAATGGGTGTCCTGTCAGCAAGGAAGGATGGGTGGGAATGAGGGCTGGGAGTCGTGGGGAAAGTGATATGGGGGCAAAATGCGCCTGAGAGAGGGGGTGGAGGTGTGCCAGGGAGAGATGGTTGCTGTGGGGATGTAGGGAGGCCGAGACGGCGAAGCGCTGGAGCAGCGCGTGGTGGATGGTGGTGATGGTAGCGTGCTGCTCAACAGGGAGGGCAGCCACTGCTGGTGTTGCAGAGAAGGCAGCTGGTCCTGGGGCAGACAAAACTTTCAGGTGTTTTGCCAGACGTTGTTTCTGCATATGCTGCTGGGCCTGCAGCTGCAGCAACCTGTATTTGTCTACCTCCTCTGGTGAGAACATGATAGGCTGCTGCGTTAAAGGAGCGGAGGTGGATTTACTGTACACTTCTAGGTCATTCATTGCGTCATCACACTTCTGCATAGCATTGTCACAAAGAGAGCCTTCTGCCCGGTTAGAGTCCATGTTTACATCATGTAGTTCTTCTTTGGTCTCTGTTGAATTAGCAATAACAGAATATCTATTAGAGGGAAAAGCACCAGGGAAATCATTTGGTACTGGGTCACAGCTTTGTATAAAGGGTTTCACTTCACTAATGAAGAGATTGGACTGTTCCTTTATTGCCGTGTTCCTTTTTATGCTTGGGGTCTGATAGCCTGTTCCTATTTGAATGATGTCTTTATAAAGACAACGATCACAATCAGTGCCTGTTGAAAAAGCGACATTACTTATCTCTGATGCTGGAAAGTTGTTTTTCTTCAGACTGGTTTCCAATGAGTTGATTTCATTATGCCCCATGTCGTTTTTACTGATGCTTAGCAGTTTCTCTGGCAAAGGTAACATAGTAATATCATCTACTGATGATGGGAACTGAAGAGCAAAGTGACCTCGTGAGTGATCCTTTAATTCCCCTCCACAAGTGTCTGGAAATCTCTCTAAATCGTGCATTTGTTCCTGGGTTTTCTTGGACTGCACTCTTTCTAAAAGTAACTTGGCTGTCAGTGACTTCCTTCTTCCACAGATATCTTTGGCCAGGGTTTCAGAAGAGCAGGTGGCAAAGTTTTTTGACTGACCATTCACATTCCGAGACTTGTAATGTGCAGTTTCAGCTTTTCCCTCTTTGATGTTAGAACCTCTTTCAGTGTCCCCTTTTGTTTTATTATCACAACAGTCAGTTTCTTTTGGGAAGGATCCCGAACTGCTACCTATGGATATTCTGCTACTAGATGATCTTTCGCTGCTTCTTGAATCTCTGGTGGAACAACTTTTGGAGCTATGGTGGCTTCTACTTCTATTATACACTTTACCAAAATGCAGGTGTCTACGTCTACTGTGTTTAGATCTGTCTCTGTGTCGTAAGACTTTATGTTTTGAACATCTTCGATGTTTAATTTTGCCCCTCTGTGTACAGTTTCTAGTTCTATGACTTCTACTGTGACAAAGATAATCCTCATCTGTATCATGAGAAATGAAAATACACTTGTGCTTTCTGTGTTTACATTTGTGCCTTTCAGCTGTCTTGCTTTGTCTTTTACAACAAAAAAGCAAATGATTTCTGCTGTGGTTGTTTGATGCGGGATCCATACAACCACTTGTACCATTAACTGAAGTGTCAGAATAGCTGGAATGTCTATCAGAGGAGGACTTTTGAGTAGATGGGCATCTCCAGCATCTCAGGTAATTTCCACATCCTTCATTTTCTGCATACCTGCTGTTTGAATTGGATTTATAACTAAGGAAACTTCCAGTGGAGTCTTTTCCACTGTCACTTATGTCACTGCTGCAGCTGGCCACATCTTGAATGGATCTGCAGTCATTTAGGTTTTCACGTTTTTCCTCACAGTAAATTAAATGACATTTTGCAGGTTTAGACTTCTTAATGCTAGACATAAAAGCAGAAAAGGGTATGCTTTCATTTCTAATGTTCTGTTTTTTCCTTTCACAGCGGTGATGTTTTAAAGGTCTTCTCAGTGTTGTTGTGTGAGGACTTTTTTCTGTCACATGATCCTTTTGTGAGACATCAAGGTAAGCAGGCACTTTGGGTATGTTTTCATTCAAATAATCTGCAATGCATTTCTGACCATTTTCATTCATTTCTTTCCCCATGTCTGATTCAGCCTTTTGCTTGGCCTTTCTCGGATTTAGGGAACCTTTCATCTTCTTTGGTTTCAACGACTGATTATCTTGTTCATTTGACATTTGCTTGTGTTTTATTAAACCTGAGGCTTCATTTTCATCTGCAGTCTTACTTATAGAGTGCTCGTTACAGCTTTCTTTGTTTGTTTCATGCTGTTTACCATCTCTGTGATTTAAAGAGAGTCTGAAGTCAAAATACAATGGATTACACCCATATGAAATACAGGGCTCAGTTTTTGTAAACAGAAGTAATTCTGTGGGCCACTGCAGAGCAGTAGTGCCATCTTTGCTCACTACATGAAGGAAAGGCAATGTCTGGGGTTTAACCTCTTTAACCATGGTCTCCCTTGGAAGCGTTTCCATATTCCCATTTGTGGTTTCTGAACTCTCCAAACATCTTTCTCTTTTTGCCACCCCAGGACTGTCATAAATGTTGCTTGCATATACCAGCTGAGGTTCTGGCTCTTGTGGGTGCTCAGGTAACCGGTCAGGCAGGTGAGCATTGCTGTACTTGTAGGCGTTTGGCTGTGTACAAAAATTGCTAGCTTGGCATGAAGGTGAAATGGGAGTTTCTAAAAATTGCTCAGACTCATTTGATTTATTCTCTTGCTCTGTTTCCAGAAATGAACCAGAAAAATCCATATTTGAAAGCTGTATTTTGACGTTAGGAAATGAAGGATGAGAACTGACCTTTTCTTCTAATTCTCTATCACTACTTTTATCATTTTCATTCAGCATTTTAGGTTTTGCAGCTACATGACTTAATGCACTGTTATCCAAACCCATTTGGTCTGGTGTAGTAGGTGGCCCTTTATTCAAGCTTGCTTTCATGTCCTCCTCCAAAACTGTGCCAGAACGACAGCCCTCAAGAGCTTGCTTTGTTTTATGGTTGGGGGATTCACTACAATCATTTCCTTCTTCAGAGTTCTCACTGAAGACTGATGCTGAGTTCTCGAGCTTCAAAGGGACTTTTTTAGAGAATGAGAAAGACACTCCTGCTCTTTGAGGAACATTGGTACTCTCTGGGAACACTTGTGAGACTTGATTTCCAAGTGCATGGGGTCTTTCAGTAGGGTACTGATGTCTGCTGATGATAAATTTCTGTTTCTCTAGTATGCTGCTGGAGAAACCTTGTCCCTCGCCAGGGGCAGTTCTTTGAGAACTGGCTGTTAATTTGCCACCCTTGTACAGGAAAATGCCATCTGGCGATTGCTGCTTTTCCACAACTAATCTGGGGGCTTTAAGCAATGGTCCACTCCCAGTGATGCTGTAAAGTAGTAAATAAAAAAAAAAGGGAAAGATTTATTAAGTAACCAAGACAGAACTCTCATTTGACAATGTCTGTCTGGTAAAGAAGGGTGTCAGTCATGCTGTTATGAGGGAAAACTAAGTTTCTAAAGTTTCTAAAGGGTAAATGTGCAGTCTAACCCTGAGATTGGGCTTCTACATGGGCAAGACAGTCTTTACATACATGAAATGATATGATTTGAAGTCTGCACAGGTATGTTTGTTTTCAGACTCATGCCCGTGTACGTCTAGAATAAACAATATTGTCTTTACTCTGAATTTATACCAGTGAGAATCTGGTCTGTGGTAAGTCTTTGTTTTCTGAAAGGCCATTGAAAAGGAAGTTGTGCCTTGTTGAAAATGAAACATTTCCACCTGGAGTACCTGCAGAATCAAACTATAAGACAAAAGGTAACGTGCTGCTTGTCTGGGGGGTGGTGATGTATGTAGGAGTTTTTTAAGAGCAAATTTTTATTTTGTCTTTATATTATTCCAGAACAAGTGACTTTGTGAAATATCCAAAGGGATATTAATGCTAAAACTATCACCAATCATTAGTGGGGAAGGACACAAGTCAGATTTCCATCATTATTAATGGAGACTTCAGTGCTTTCATTATCACCCACCATTTGACTTACTTTCCCATATTTTCTCTTTCTGTATTCTACTTTTATTAATTATATTTTTCATTTTGCCAAAACTTATCAGATTTTAAACCTGTGGTTTAATTTTCTTGGGCTTTTAAATCAACCTATTCTAAGGAGGCTTAACAAACATGGTAAATCATTGATTTATTGCAATAGATAATTAGCTGAAATTGGAATGACTGTTGCCATTTTCCATTAGAAATGAGACATACATAGCCACCATACAAATCTTATTCCAAGTAATGTTTTATATATGTATTTCATGAGACCAATTATCCACATTTGCTATCGATGCAGTTCTACAGTACACTTACATGAAAAATTTTTGGAACCAGCTTCAGTAAAGAGTTTGATTAAAAATTAGAAAATATTTTAATTAAATGTAACTAATTTATGACTGCCAGATCTGCATAACTGCTATCGATAAATAGGCCAGCGTGTTTTATAAATGCTATAAAAATCTATTGATCTCCAGCAGTGGGAACAACATAAAGACTCCCTGTAGTGGGGTCAACTCAGAGTGTGAGAATATGTATGCATTTCTGAAAAGATATTTGCATTTGCCACAGATTTGGCTTCAGGAGATACAAATTCACCCTTATTTGTACATTAAGAAGGAATAACCTCTTGGAGAAGGTGTGTAAAAAGACTCTTTTCAAAGTCTCCTTGGAACAGCAAAATAAACCTTCATTTTCAGTTTTTCTGTGCACAAGATTAACAGTAATTTTTGTTTAACTTCCTGTAAGGGTCTCTGTTGCAACCTGAGGCACAGTACTCAGGGGCAATAACAACTATATGTGTGTGTGTGGACTTTTGCTTGGTAAAGCTGGCTTTCTGTCTTGCCTGAGCAACTGGGAATGCTACCCCTCCACCAAGATCACGACTCTCAGCCGACCCTGAACCTATCAGTCATTACAAACAGGAATAGCGAGCACTGTCTTTCCAGGCTCTTTGTAAAGGATTGTGGACTCCTGGCTCTCTTTCTAAAAGCAAACCCAATTTTTCCCTCCCAGCCTCACTCTGGCTTTCCTATTTTCACTAACCTTATTGGTCTATCTGAGACTGTATCTTCAATGTGTGGGCATAAAGGCATCGTCCCACAAGCAGGTACATTTCTCTTGGCAGATTTGTATGAAAATGGAGTTGTAACCATAAAAGTGATATATTAGCACTAAACTGTTTCAGCAGATTACTCAAAGGCAATTACATAGGCCAAAATGAGTGTATAATAAACTCTGACTGTTATTATTTCCAGGGTACAGTAAGCTTGATATGAATTTAAAAGGATGCCAGTTTAATTATCTACTTAACTCATTACAGTCATAGATTAACATAAACAATTGGTCTGGTGGCAACCTTTATACTGATGTATTCAATCTTGTTAAAAAAAGGAGGTTTCTCAGATGTAAAGGTTTATTAGTGCAAATTTTGGACTGTATCTTGATATACCTCAATAGAGCTAACAGTATTGGATAAACTTAACTCATTTAATTACTTGTTTTTCATTCACATAATGATATTTAAATTACTATACTGAGAAATGGTAAGAATAGTGTCAGTAAACTACAAGCAGCGAAAATTATTCACAGACTAAGTACAGATGCTCTAAAAAGTGTTTTTCCTCTCCCATTCACTTACTATCAAATGCTAAGACAGTTATACTAATCTATTCAGGTCAGTTTGATAGGGTAAAATGGTGATACTAAAACATCTTCACTCAGTTCAAAAGAGATGAAATTAACTAGCTACAGGAGAGAAAAACACAAACCTTCAAATAACAATTAATTAATTCAGGGTCTTTCAATTTTATGGTTTGCAGAACAGGAACTTTTGGAGTTGGGAACGGCTGAAAACAGGTTACAGTAGACACGATCTCTGAATATTACAGAGTGTAGGTGAAAAAATATGGGGATTTCTTCTGAGGCTGAGGAAAGAGGGCATTAAAAGGTAATATAAATTTTGAATACTTACCATTCTGACTGCTTCCTTAACTCTGCAAGTTGGTGGAGCCGCTTGAGTGCTTTTTCCTGTTTCTTCTCATCTTTCCATGACTTTGAAGCCACATTTCGAGCAAATTCCCTTTGTTTTAAATCTTTCAATCTCTGTGTGAAAAGAACAAAAAGAGAAGGGATTAAACATTACACAGCATTCCTCTTACTCAATTTATTTGCTTTTGGTGAAGTTAGTATGTAAATGGAGAGTAAAAATATACTTAAAAAGCTGTCATTCTAAGAGATTGAAAATGATGGTTTTGCCTAACAAAAGAACATGATTGGGCCATCACTATTCAGCTGATCAACACATACCTATGAATGATAGCTTTTTCATTTCTTATGAATACACAATTCTTCTGTTGTTTATAAAAAAATATAAACACACAAAACTAGACTCCATTTAATGTAGTTGAAATTTTCTTATTTAATTCAGTCAGTTGGAATTTAAACCTTAGCCATATACTGGAATAAAGCTGAACTTGTGTGTGTAATATATTTTATAGATCTCTATACTTGTACATGAATGCATGGATCAGTGTGTGCTACTGTGTTGATTTTGTAGCTTTTTAAGTTTGCCTTTTTTTTTTTTTTCAAAGGAGAGAATGATTGTCTGAAATATTTGATGAGGAAACTTGCTTATGGTTATTTTTGCAATTATTTTTTATCTTCTTGAACATCTATAAATCAAGTAATTCCTACTGGAGAGAGCAAAATTTTTCGCCTTTATTACTTTTTTTATTACTTGGTTTTGCACTGCTGATGGTATAAAGAAAAGTGAAGGAGAAGAAGACACAAACAAAAAAGTGTTTCAAAAACATCCTTTGCAAAAAAAAAGTGGTGCTGTCTTGCCTTTGAGTTCATTGTGTTATTCAGGATTCAACAGATCGTGTCCAACCTCACAACTTCCCGGTTCAGGTCCATGCTTCTGTGCTTCATGGCAGAAGTGCCTTCCTCCCTGTACCACCTCTCCGGTGTCGTGTTTGGGAAGGGCAGGTTTACAAACCAGAAGGGAGCTCTGGTGCATTCAGCCAGATGCCCAAACTGGAAACTTTGAGGACCAGGAGGGAGAACTAAACCACTGCATCCAGTTGCCCCTTTGTCTGGAGGAGGTCCTGTGCTCTGCTGTGAAATTCCGAACTTGAGTATCAACACCAGGAAATGCTAAATTTTCCATGGAGCCCAGAGAGCTGTTTTTGTGAGCTAGACTTAAAGAAAGGTTTTGGCATCACAGTAATTTTTCAACTGTTGCCCAGCTGGCAGCATCTGTGCCTACTTTCCTGTCCACCAACACCTAAAGATTAACATCCTAATCACTGCCATCATCTCCTGCTTTTGTTTCTCTATAGCATGGCCAAAAGAACAACATGCATCAGTAGGATAAATTGGAGGCTGACCCAGCATTTGTTTTCTGCAGCTCAGGTATGTGGAGCAGCCTAGCTATGGCACAGAGCTCTGCATGGGCCAGCAGGCATCTGCTTTCCAGAAACAGGGCTGAAGGCAGAGAGTCCTTAGCTTGTAGGGGTCAAGAGAATGATGAACGCATAAGAGTGAACTGCTTTCTGGAGAGAGGTCTAGCTTTTGTCAGTAGATGAAGACAAAAGGAGTAGGTGAAAACGGCTGTGTGGTTGCTTAATGCAATCTAAAAAACCAGCTAAAACAAAGCCATCCAGGTAGTGGTGATGACCTAGTATGGCAGAGAGGCATGGAAGAACCCTTGATAGAAACATACAGGATCTGTGATTACATTCTGTGAAGAGTGCTGCAAAGTTGTAGTGCATTATGTCCCACCACTGTCACATCAGCTGCCCTTCAAGTATGGGATTTTTTTAAAAGGCCAGATAACATCTGTGAGAGAAAAACAAACAAATGCTGGGAGACTAGAGCAGAATTTTCTTGTTTGCTTTCAGCCTTCTGGACCCCAAGACATGTGCCTCCGTGCCTGGTGAAGTAGGGAGAGCTGGGCTGCCCACAAATCAGCTTAAGAGCTGGCTCTCGACCATGTGATGTCTCTGCACAGGTAAACTGCTCAGGGAACTAGTGCACCAGCAACCAGAACTGTCCTACTGCCTGCTGCCTGTTCAAAGTTTAACAGTATTCATCAAAAATATTTACAGCCTGTCAAATCTATATGTTTCTCTGGAAAGTTTCTATCAGCTCCAACATCTAATATGTCACTGAATTAGATTCTGAAACAGGACAACTGCAGAGTCCTCTTCAAAGCTCTTAGGCTTCAGTTCCTTGGAAAGAAATGGTTGCTCCACCACATTTTTAGCTACATGCCCTCCCTCACTGTTTGCTTGCCCCTTGCCAGGCCATTCACTTAGTGCTCCATTCCCTCAACCTCATTCCCTGCAATTTACAGTAAAATGGATGAGTAGGTAAGACAATGTTAGTTTTGGTACAGGAAATAAGATTTTAAAATAATATGTAAAAGCCAAAGCTGCACAATAAATCAGAGAATCTTCCCAGAACACAGCCACACTTTTTGTCACTTAAGTAATGTTTACAAGAGTGTAGAGATATTTAAGCAGAAAAGATCCTATCCTCCATATAAAAACATAGGTAGTCTTGAGTCTTATTAACATCTTCAGTGTGAAGAAAGGGCAAAGAAACACATTTGAGAAATGTCCTTTAGTGATGCTTGCTATGTTTTAGCTGTCACTGTGGGCTGTTTGGTATCACACATAAAGCATTCATGAGGAAAAACAGAAAGAGTTTCTACCTGTCTGAAGAAGATGTGAAAGCTAGTACCACAGAGTTCAGGTACTGCAAAGAAATGCCTTTTCACTTCTTTGACAGTTAGGATGATAATCAACAAAGCAAATGGACCAACACTTAGAATAGAAGTTCTAGTGGTATTTTTTGCTCTTTAACGGCATCCAGCATGTGTCAAGGAAGCAGAGAAAAGAATAAAAAAATGTAGGTAAGCATAGCGGAGGACTTATCAACCGGAGATGAAATCCGAGAAATCAAAAGCATTTACAGTCTGAGCAGATAAAGGGCTCTCCCTGCACATCCCCTCATCAAAACAAGAAAGGCATGCTGCCAGGGATCCAGTTAGGAATCGTAATGAGATTTGTCAGCTGTGTTGGATAGACCATGGGACTGCCTGCTGAACCTGCAAAGCTGTGGTTTTCTTCACTAATAACCTGTGCCAGACTCCTGACAGGCACACAAATATTTTTCACATGCAGTGTACAACTGCATGCAACTGAGCAGGTATCTGAATGACAACTCTAAACTCACCAGGTGTTTTTGAAAATTAACATTGTTTTACACAGCAATTGCATTTTTCATGTAATTAGGTACTTAACTGGGCATCCAAATGCAGGCATGTGTAATAAATTATGATTTATTAAACAGCAATCTTGTGTTCTGTCCTTCACCTGCTACCAATATCATTACTATGGAGTTATATTTAATTTTTAGACTCATGTTCTATTCTTCTGGGTTTTGTGCACATGTGCAAGTAGACATTGCCATGTCTAAAAGTAATCCATCCCTTTTTTATAAGTACCCACACAGAATATTAAAATACTACAAAATAATATTCATTCTGAATCTCTTATTTTCCTCCTGAACTCTAGTATGAATCACCAGGAGACCCAAATTACTTAATGGAGCTGCATCTTCATTACCTATTTTTGCTAGTCATGAAATATCAGTGGCCAAATATCTGAACTTTAGCAATTTCTGCCCATTCTTAATGTTGGGTTGTTTTTTTTAAAATTGTCACTTTATTGTGGCCAGTAGTTGCTTTTCACTGACATACAAGCACCTGTAACATACTCACCACATTTTCTGTACTGAAAGTACTTGCTTTCCGGTATGATGCTGATTTCTATTCCTCCCTATGTAGGTGAACATTTCTCTGGATTGCTATCTGATCAAATTTAGATGCGTATAGTAGTTGCTTAGATTTTATTTACAACCACTGGAAAGAAATAAGCTCTTTTAGGGATCTAATCACTTCTTTATAAAGAAGCTGTCTAAAACAGGAGGGATAAAGTGAGATGTAAAAGTACCTCTTTCTGTGATTCTGTCATCTCAGACATAGACTTTTCATAGAGGAAACTGGTGCTATTGGTACATTTTTATTGCTATAGGTAATGCTCATGTCTACAGGTTACATAAAAGAGTACTTTGAATTAGTGTACTTTTAGCACATATAATAGAAAGAAAATTGAGGAAGGCATCTGGGCTTTTTTTATAAATCATTGACAAGAATACAGAGAAAGTTTACATAATCTACGTTTCCCTGCCAGATATGCATTCTCTAGGGGGTTTCTGACTTCAGGAACCATTTTTTCTGTATTGCTCCCTGATTCACTCTCTCATAATTTGAGGACCATAGGAACACAGTACTAAGGGACGGCATTAATTCTTTTGAGCATTCTGCCAGGGGCCATGCTCATCCCATTATACAGATCTAAAAGGGGTTCTCAGTATGAGTACTTCAGACACCAGGGCAAATGACTGTTGCTGCAAGTATAGTGAGAAGAAAATTCTCTTCTTATTCACAGCAGTATAACTGCATTGACTTAGATAGATAGTAAACTGCATAGATGTAAATCCCCCTTTGGGGAAAAAAAAATATCCATGCATTAAGTTATAAAATGGCAAGTTAATAAGAATTAAAGGACTTTTCCACTTACATTCAGACTTTTTTTTCCTCTGGAATATCATTCAGAATACATGCTCCAAAATGCTTATCATCCTGTAATGCATTGAAACCCCAGACAAAAATTTAGTAGCTTTCTTCAGTCAGCATTAGGTGTATGTCTCCTGTCATATTTAGAGAGCCTTCTCTGAATCTGCTAATGTGCTCTGAAGCTAATGTGAGTGTTTGAGTGCCTGACCGATTTCAGAAATTGATTTCCACTTGGTGGAAAAGCTCCTTAATTAAGTTCTAAACAAATCCACCATAAAAGGGTTAAATGAGGAAAAAAAAAAAGAAATGTGAATTTCAGTAATTATTCTCTTGCCTGTACCCTAACATTGGAACCAACGACATTATTTGTAAAATGAATTCACTCTGCAAGCCATCAAATGAGAATGATAGTTACTAGAGAACATAATTAGTCTTCATGTCTGAAGCTTATGGTATT